CCTCAGCCTCCCAAAATACTCAGCCCTTGGGCAGAGCCGGGATGGCCCATGGCGACCAGAGGGCCCATGTAGTGGAGATGATTCCAGGGGCCAGAGCAAGAGACCACAGGAAACGTGGGCTCTGCATCTTAGCTCCCTGGAGGCCCCATTCAACGTCATTTGTGATGGAATGAGTGGCAGCACACATGTGACCCAAGGCCAGGGTCAGGCGGCTATCGTGGTCACTTCCTGGACAGCCTGTCCTCATCCTGGGCAGCCCGACCCCAGGATGAGGGCAATCGCCCTAATTTGCCTTATTGCATTAGCACGGGCATCGCTGAAGAAAGGGAATTCTTTCACAGCCCAGGGCCTCCGTGTGTGCCCAGGGGCAGACCCTGACTCCGGCTCACAACCTTGTGGGAACTTTGGGAAGTGATGTTGCAGTCTTCTGACCTCTGACCTCCAGCTGCAGCCCAATACAGTGGGTCCAGCTGGACTCCAAGCATCCTCCTCGTGCTCTGATTCCCAGCCTCTGCTCACAGAGCCTGAGGCAGGACGGCCGGGGGACCTCGAGTCCTCCACACCTCTGCAGACTTTCAGAATCCCTTTGCAGCTGCGTCCAAGCCTGCCACACGCGTGTCCTCAGGGGAGTTTCCCAAGGCTCTACAGGACTGAAGAGTGTAAAGCAAAGCCAGATCAGAAACAGTACCGGATGCTTCTCTGCACTTTTCAGCCATGGGAGCTTCCTGCCATGGATACCGTGCTTACATGTGTACATGTGCACGCTGCTTGTGGCTTCAGGCAGTCGGTCTCTGTCATCACATGGTGTTTGCCAGAGAAAGTGTAGTAAAACCAGACTCTCCCTGTCAAGTTTATAAGTTAAAAAAAGTATCACCACAGTGAAACCCATGGGCTTACATGATGGGATTCCTGACTGAGGCAGGGCGAGAGCCTCTGGGAGGACACTCACAGGCCCTACCTGGGCTCCCCCTGCCATTTCTCTGGTGAAGACGGGCAGCCTGTGAGCGAGCCCAGGGATTGTCAGGGACCCTGACACTGGGGGGACGGTGAGGCTGGCTCAGTGCAGCCATGGTGCCCACCAGGAGGGATGCCTGGGCATGCAAAAGGTCCATCACTCCTGGTGGGCACAGGCTCCTGGGGATCACGTCAGACAGAAGCAGGGCACCCGAAAGCATGTGTGTGTGGCCTCCCTTTCTGTGGCATAAGCCCCTGGTGTTGATACTTGCAGAGGGAGCGTCCAGGAACCGCAAAACACGTATAGGACACATGGGCATCAGGAAGGACCAGGCATCTCCACGTGCTTGCGAAGCCAGGGTTATCTTCACTTGGCCCCGAGGGTTCCAGTGTCTCAGCACAGTCACTTCCCCAGCAGAGCAGGAGGGCAGAAGGGACACTGTGGCTACTCACTCCCCTTGGGTCTAGCGTGTTATTGGCCTGTCTGTGCCAATTTTTTTCAGAATTAATCTTGGGCTGAAAAGCCTCAAAGAAGGCTTTGTTCCTTTGACACTTGCTCTGGAAGAAAAAATCCGTGGAAAATCTGACATTTGCAGTGTAGAGAGAATCAATAGATGGGAGGAATATAATTACCCTCCACTCCTACAAGAATTGTTCAGATCCTTAAGTGTCTCGTATCAGCTTAGAGTTTGAATGACATTTTAATTATTTTGTTTTTTTCTTCCTTTCCTGGATTGAATCTCCAGAGTCCCACTCTCGGGTTCTGGAGAGGCAGGCCGAGCCGGCGTGCAGGAAATGGTTGGTGGCGGCTGTGTCTCCTGCCCACAGAACCCATATTTAGTCCGAGCGGTGACTCTGCCCACAACACAGGACACGACCTCCCTGTGGTGGGGCCTCTCGTCACGTCCAGTGATGCCTTGGGGGCTCCACGCAGACATGAGCCTGTGGAGTGTGAGCTCGAGCTGGAAGCTGTCTCTGGTGCTTTTGTGATCTGAGCACACCCAGTTTCCAGAAGAACGTGACTCTTGCTTTTTAAAGTAATTCATCCTTCAGGTCTTTAAATAGCAGCACACCTAGGGACTTGGAGCGCAACTCAACTCTGGGTGCCAGCACACAAGCCCCTGTGACGTCAGGGGCGTGGGCGCCAGGTGTGCAGGCAGATCCTGATGCGGAAACGGGGGCAGCCCCTCCAGACCCAGCCTTCGGGGTAGATGCTCAGAACAACCAAGTGTTGCGACCCTCAGAGATACATCGGTGGCCCAGTGGAGGCTGTCAGCAGTGTCCCATACGGCTCACGCCCACGAGGAAGCATTGTTATGTGGTATTCCTGCAGATGCAGGGGTACTTTCGGGTCCCCGATGCCCTGTGATTTCTCCCCTGTGTGACTCTGGATATCCGTCACTGGCCTGTGCGCTGTCCTGCAGGTGCTGGCCAGAGGTCTCAGTGTGGCCATGGCCTCTCCCTCTGTCACACCCACGCCCTTCCTTTTGTGGTCCCTGGGCCCCAGGCCCCATATTCCAAATGCATCTGGAGTGGGATTCTTCCCACCTCCTGCTCAACCCGAGTTGCCCTGCTGGACAGCCACAGAGCCCAATGCCTTCACCGACCACTTGGCAGCTAGAGAACCGGAGACTAGTATGACACTGGGCCCTGCACAGAGCCTCGGCCATCCCAGAGTCCCTCCTGGGTGTCAGGGCAGTTTGTGTCAGCCTGGTTAGGCCACAGGCCTAGAAAGTCACAAGTGCTGATCTCTATGCTGCTGGGGCCTGCAGGTGTGCCAAAAGTCTGTGCCAGTTACTCGAGCAAGGAGGACCATCCTGCACAGCCTGCCACCAACCTGTCAGTGGAAGGCCTGTGGGTGGCACTAGGCCCTGGAGAGGAGAGGACGCCATCCCACCAATGGCAGTGCCCCCCTGCCTGGAGGCCCAGCCTGGGGTTTCCATGCAGACATGAGGCTGCAATGCAGGTGCTCAAGCCACCAACTGTCTCAGGGGCTGTTGAGACCTGAGCGCACCATTTCCAGGAGTTGTGACTCTTTTCAAAGTAGCTCATCCTCCTCATCTTTAAGTAGCAGCACTCCTGGGGGCTCGGGCACAACTCGGCTCCATCATGCCACACCCACCGGCTCCGAGACACGCTCCCACTGGCTTTGGGGTTCTGGCGGAGCCCTGACCCTGTGGCCCACGGTCGGAACAGGTTCCAAGACGCCCTCTGGCTTCCCTCCGAGGCTTCCTCAGTCTCCTCGTTGCAGACCTGCTGGTCCTTGCAGTGCCTCATACCCAGGTGGGCACACTTACTCTCCCTTCCCTTGCAGGGTGTGTCCCCTTCCTCCCCAGGGATAGCCCCGCAGGCAGTTGCTGTCAACCAGTGGCAGGCTGGCTCCTGCTGTGAGCTGAATGTCTCCCCAGGTTGAAGTGTTGAAATCCCCACCCCTGTACCATGGAGGGCCAGCTACCATCCAGGGCAACTGGTCACAGGGCCTCGTGAACAGGAGGAGTGCCCATGTGAAGGGTTCCCAGAGGGACCCCTTGCCCTCTTTCCTGCCTGTAAGAAGAGCAGAAAGGTGGCCCCACCAGAACTGGCCCTGCTACACCAAATTCAGCCTCCAGACCTGTGAGAAATAAGCCTCTATGTTGATGGGCCACCTGTCATGGTGCTTGGCTTTGCTTCTGGGCTCTCTGCACCTCTGATGCACTTCCCTCAGGGTGTAGTGTGGCCTCTTTTGTTCCCAGCTGGACCCAGTCCCAGCAGGATCTAGCATATCATGGGCACCCAGTCCCATGTATGCTGGATGGACAGGTGGATGGGTGAATGGATAGATGATTGAATTGTGTGGATGGGTGGGTGGATGAACGATGGATGAACTGGTGGGTATATGAGTGGGTGGATTGATGAGTGGGTGGGTGGATGGTAGGTGGATGGATGGATAGATAGGTAAACAGTGGGTGGATGAATGTGTGAATGGATGAATGTGTAGAGGGTTGGATGAGTATAGGGGTGGGTGGGTGGATGGATAGGTGGATGAATGAGTTGGTGATCGGATGGGTGGATGGATGGTGGGTGGGTGGACAGGTGGGTGGGTGGAGAGTATATAGGTGGATGGATGGTTGGGTGGATGAAAGGATGGGTGGTTGGATGGTGGATGCATGGGTAGATGGGTGGGTGGATGGACGGATGGATGAGTGCATGTGTGGACGGCTAGCTGGGTAGGTTGATGGATGGATAGATGGTGGGTGGCTGGGTGGAGGGGTTGGTAAATGAACAGTAGATAGGTGAATGCATAGTGAATAGATGAATGGGGGGTGGATGGGGTGGGTGGATGTTGGATAAATGGGTAGCTGGATGAGTGAATGGAGGCTGTGAAGAGCCATTCCTTGGATGCCATTCTTAGTATTTGTAGACCATGGAGGCCATGGAGAACTCTTCCCTGGATTTCATCTTTGGTGTCCCTAGACCATGAAGGTCATGGGAGAATTGTTCTCCAAATGCTGTTCTTGGTGTTCATAGACCATGGAGGCCATGGAGTACTGTTCCCTGGCTGCCGCCTTTGGTGTCCCTAGACCATGGAGGCCATGAAGAACTGTTCCCTGGATGTCATCCTGGGTGTTCTAGACCATGGAGTCCATGGGGAACTGTTTCCTGGGTGCTATCTTTGGTGTTCATAGGGGCTAGAGTGAGTTGATGGCATGTTAGGGGTGTCCATGTTTAAAGACTCACAGCCATGGTGTTGTGATGGTGCTTAGAGCTCTAGAAGGTGAGGTTAAGACAGCACAGGTGGCCGTGGCTGTAGGAAGGAAGCCCCTGTTTCTTCTTACCGGTATCGTGTGTTTAGCTTTATCCTTTAAAAAGTACCAAATGTACCTTTCACAAAGCGCCATTTCCATCTTACCTTTTAGTATAATAATCTGTTCCCTCAATGCTCCACAGCCCAGGGTCCACCTCTGTGGATGGCTAGTCTCCTGTGGTCATGTTGTCCCAGGGAGCTTTTGGTGTTCAGTTGTGTACTCCAGGCCAACCTTGGTGACTGTCTTCACTTACCTTGGCAGGGCCTGATCAAGATCCGGGGAGACCAGTGCTGGCGCGACCTCAACTGCATGGACTTCCACTATGAGGTGAGCCTCTGTTTCAGCCACTTCCCTGAGCGTGGCTGGCCTATCCCCATTTCTGCTCCAGGTGGGACTCCGTCCACCACATCCAGGTGAGCCACTATCTCCATTGCAGGCTCACTGTCAATGATTCCAGATGACTCTCCTTCCTGTCACTGGCTAGGGCCTCTTATCTTTCAAGTCCAGCAGGTTTGTGGTGGTTTGGCACCGGGTCCCTCTAGTGCCGTCCCCAGTCCCTTACTGGCCTCCAACAGGGCCAGACCCTCCCTCCTGGAGTCTGCAGCTCCCCATGCACCCCACAACAGGTGTGTGCCCCCTACCCCACAAGCTGTGTCCCTATTGTTTCCTGGATATGGGCAGGTGCGTCCCACCAGGAGGCAGGCATGGTTCCTGCTGTGCTGGGCCCCTGGGACCCAGGCCCAGATCCAGGCCCTCCACCATCCCTGTTCCTGCAGCTACTCACACACATGCCTGTGCCAGGCACTGCCATCACCACCCGTGAAGTGCCTGGGGCGTGTGCTGTCTTGTGATGTCTTGTGCTCTGGGTCCGATCTAGCCCTCCTGGGAGCCATATCCTCATGTTGGGTATGTGTCTTCTTGGCCACTGTGCCTCAGCACACCTACAATACTGTGGCTCATGCCCACCAGAACAGCTCTTTCCACATGGTACCTGGGAATATGTCTCCCCTGCACACCCAAGGTGGCCACAAACTTTGCTGCAGTTTCTCCACCCTGACCTGGTGGCAGTCCCTGCCCTCCGGGACCAAGACTGACACTCCTCTGCAGCCCTGCCTCTGTGGGCTCCAGGCCTGCATCATGTGTCAGCTGGCCTAGGGGCAGGGATCATCACTTGTGCCTGTGTTTAGCGGCCAAGTCTTGTCTGTTCTTCAGGGTCTTGAGATCTCCCCAGTCCTCTCCACAAGCGCCTTTCTTTGTCCCAGAGCAGGGTTGGCAATGTTCTCTAGCACACCGGAGTGGAAGCACTCCCATCTCTGGGCCAGACAGTCCCAGGAAGGCCATGACAGGGCTGCAACCACAGGGCTTGTGTGGGCAAGGGCCTGTGTCACCAGAGCCATTCCTGCCAGTAGGCTGTGTCCATGTGCCCCTGCCCCAGGACAAGAGCAGTGCCCAATATGGGTCGGGAAGGCAGGGTGGCCTTCCCAAATCCAACGCCTGGGTCTGTCCCTAGAAGAGAAGAGACCCAGACCAGAGACTCAGGCTAGAACCTTCCACACAGTACCTCGCCAAGGCTCCCATGCCTAGCACAGGCTGGCAGGTGGCAGCAGGTGCCATGGGCATGGGGCACTCATGGCTGGGAGCTTGTAGCTGGGGGCAAGTCTAGTGAGATCTTGGCTATGCACTGGCCGTTCCCAAAACAAACACAGTGTCACTCTAGAGACAGTTGCCCTGTGGAGCCAGCGGCTCTTGGCCCAACACCTGGGCCTGCGTCTCAGCACCTTCCAGATCTGGCTGACCAGGACCATGGGGGAGGGTCCTCCCGGGGTTGAGTCACGGCCATGCTCAGGTTGAGGACATAGGTAGGGGACTCTGAGGGGGCAGAAGGCTGGTCATGAGAACCCCATGGGGCCTGTTAGAGTTGCTCTGACCTGCATGCAGCCAGCTGGAATGAAGTGGGACCCATTGGTGCCTGGCCTTTCCTGTGTCCAAGGCCTGGGCACCACCCACACTTGGGGTCTCTCCACTACATTGCACATGAGAAGTCCCACTGCATCAGCCTCAACTCCAGTGGCCTAGGTGTGGCTGAGATGGCACTGGCTACTCAGAGACCCTGCCTGGAAGGACTGGCCACAAGGACTCAGGCAGGGCACCAGGGCTTAGGGGCAGCCTGCAAGAGTTGGCCCGGCAGTGTCAGGCCGCAGGCGGAGCTGCAGGCAGAGATGAATGTACACCCACCAGACCTCAGAACGTGACACCATCTGGAGAAGGGGCCACTGTAGGTGTGACTAGTTAGGGAGAAGTCAGACTGCACCAGGGCGGGCCCCAAATTCAACACCTGGGTCTGTCCCCAGAAGAGAAGAGACCCAAGAACAGTGACTGCCCTGTGTCCATGTGGCCAAATTTCCAGAAGGTGTGTGTTGGGTGTGCCAGGGACGCTCGTCTCCAGACACTGAGGCTATGTGCCAGGCAGTGTGAGGCTAGGACCTTTGGGGTCCATGTCCAAGGATGAGCAACCTCGGCTTGCCTGGGAAGGTGATGTTCTGATCACATGGGATCCAGGGCAAACGCTGGCAGAGAGGCCAGGGGCAACCCCCCTGGGGTAGGGGGGACGTGCAGAGCCCGGGGCCCACCTGCGCTTTCCAGTGCGGGAGCCACTCCTCGGGCCTGTGTTTCAGAACCTACCTTGTGAATTAGATGGGCATGTGGGAGCCCCGGGCGGTGGGGAGAGTCCAGAACTCCTTGGTCCCTGTCCCTGTGGGGCTCCAAGAACAAGCATCTCCAGTGGCAGGTGTTCTAAGCAGCTGCAGCACCTTGCGCCTGCCCCTGGACCACTGCCTGGTGTATTCCTGTGAGGTTGTCTGTGTCCCCTGTGGGGATGGTGACCATGTGGCCTCAAGGACCTGACTCCACTGGGCAGTGAGGGAGCAGGGGCCACACCCAGCCTGAGGCCAGAGGCAGCAGGGGGCCCTGGTAATGGGTGGAGTGGGAAGAGCAGGACACCCAGTCTCAGAGACGGCCAGGTAGGAGCCTCAGGACAGGGACTTGCAGGACAGGGACTTGCTGAAGTTCCTACATCCCAAGGCCCCAGCCTGGGACAAGAAACAGGTCACCATGTCTCCTTGGAGTTGTCTCTTAGACAAGGACACCCCTTCTTGCTTTGCTCTGGTGAGGACAGGGAAGCTAAGCCCTGGAGAAGAGACCTAGGTAAGAGAGGAGATGAGGATGGGAAGGCTGAGCCCTGGAGAGGAGGCCCCAGTTCTGGAAAAGCCTGCAGCCCCCGCATGCAGCTCCTGCCCTGGCTGCGCCCTGTGCGCCATAGCCATGTGTCCGGTCTGGAGGCCCGTTGCTGCCTTTCCACTTCTCACTGGTCAGATGAGGCTAGGGGCCCCTTCTTGGCAAGCCAGCCTGTGCTGTGTAGAGATGCAGAGCACCTGGGAGCCCGGGAAGGCCCACAGTTTCAGGCTCCCAAGAGCAGAGGACAGTGCATATCTATAGGGGTTCCTCTTGAGACTCTACAGCCTTGAGACTCTTCCCTCAAGGCTGGCGGGGTGTGGGCTTGTCTGGGGTCCTGAGGCAGCATTGCCCCCACATCGCAACATCCCAGCTCTGGTGTCAGCGGTGTGTTCCCCCAGGTGCACTCCTTGTCTTGTCATCAACTCATCACAAAACAGCAGCTGCTAGTGAATCCGGTACATTCAATCAGAAGACAGGGACAGTGTCCTCAGGGTGAAGGTCAGGTGTGGTGGAGGTGCCTTCTGGTCACATGGTGGGGCTGGAGGTGCCTTCATGTCATGTGATGGGCTCCTCTGGGTCCAGCCTTGTCCTTTGAGAACCACCACAGTAGCACAAGCTGGGGTGAGGGTGGAAAGGGCTTGTTATGAGTTGCAGAAGGGGCTCCCTTCCCCATTCCTCAGGAAATTTGGGGGTGTTTGGAAGCTCTGAGCCCAGGACACGGCCCAAACCAGATGCCTCTTTCCCAGTAGGTCACAATCCTGGTGGCGAGGCCAGGTCCCTATTGGCTGTCTGCCACATGCACTGTTCACCCTGGTCTCCAGTGTGATGACAGTAGTCGCTTTCCCCGGTCTGTCCGTGTGGCCATGAGTGCCTGGTGTCCCTGCATTCACCCTGCAGCCAGGGTTCCTGCACATCCTACTGCATTGGAAGATGGGATGAGATCCTGCTGAAGTTCCTACATCAACAGTACCCAAAAGAAAACTGGTGTGACCGTATCAACAGACAAAGGGGTCTTCAAGACCAGGAATATCACCAGAGATCTAGAGGGATATTTGTAATAACTAAAGGGTTAATTCAACAAGAAAGCATAGAACTAAATCCTAAACGTGTGTGTTCTTAGTAGCATAGGTTTAAAATTCATTGAACAAAAATTGATAGAATTAAATGGAGAGACATTCACAATACTGGCTGGAGACTTTAGGAGAACTCTCTCAGTAACTGACAGAACAAGTAAGCCAAAAAAAACAAAACAAAACAGTGGTTAAGATTTGAACTACACCATTGACCAACTATACCTAATTAACAACAATAAAATAATTTCCACAACAACTGCAAAATACATAGTCTTTCGAGTGTACATGGAACATTCATCAAAATAGAGCACTTGCTGGACCATACAACAATATCAATCAGTTTCAAGGAACTGATGTCATACTGATTATGTTTTCTGACCATAGTTGAAATAAAGTAGAAATCAACAAAATAATAATTAGAAAATTCTCAAGTACCTGAAAATTAAGCAACACACTTCAAAGTAACTCCTGAGCCAATAAGAAAAAAAAATTAGAAAATTTTGAATTTAACAGAAATGAAAATACAACATACCAAAACTTTTGGAATGCAGCCAAAGCAGTTCTTGGAAAGAAATTTATAGCTTTAAATGTGTCTTTAGAAAAAAAAAATCTATGAAATCTAATATTTAACCTTCTATCTCAAACACTGTTAGAGAAGAAGGGGTGGGTGGCAAATTAAATACGAAGAAAGTAGAAGGAAGCAAGTAATATAGACCAGAAGTCAATGAACTGGAAACAAGGCATTCTATAGGGAATATCAATAAATCCAAAAGTTTCATTTCTTTGAAAAAATTTACAGAATTGACAAACCCTAGTAAGACAAAGCAAAAAGGAATACCAATGAACAATATAAAAAATTAGAAGTGGGATGTCAGAACATATTCTTCAGCTATCAAAAATAAGAAGATATTATGAACACCTCTGTTGTAATAAAATTGAAAACGTGGGCACAAAACTCAACTCAAAGTGGTCACAAGAAAAAATAGAAACTCTTAAGCTGAGTTCCCCTGACCAAGGTGA